CTTCAGGCAGTCATTGCCAGTAAAGGATTCTCAATAAAATATTACAACACATTTTATTTAGGATTATATTCAATTGCCCAATTACTTTTGGTCCCTTGAAAAAAGGGGGATGGCTACTCTTAAGAGCTGTAATTCCTAAACCCTTCCTCCAATTTGGATGTACATACCCTCAAATTAAACCTGAGTGTGCACGTTCAGCCCATATCCATTATACAACTATAGCTCGAATACGTTTTGGTAAATATCTGAAAAAATAAATATGGACACATACGAAAATATATATATATATATATATATATATATATATATAATAAAATAGCCCTGAACTTGTCCTTTAAGTCACTCATTCATAGAAACACAATAGTGACAGAAAAAAAAAAAGACCAAGTGGTCCATTGAGTCTGTCCAGTATTTCTTCTTTACATATTCATAACAGTGGTCCCCTCTATCAGAATACAATGGCATGGCACAATGCAACTGTGTGGTGCGGCTTTTGAAAACTGTTCCTGTGTTACTTTGGCTCCATGGGTTATGCTCGCCACATCCAGGTCACACTACATTAAACACATTGAAAGTCACACTGGAATTGCATTGCAGTAGCATGCACAGAGCCTTCTCTAAACTTCATCCAACAAAGGTAGTCAGTCCCCAATACAAGGAAACTCACAAACCAGAACATGAAATCTCATGAAAAATATAGCAGAGTGGCCAAGCAAAACTAAAATGAGACATCAAAAATTATTTTCAAGTATCAGAAATAAAAAGTGTGGTCATTGTTCTACTTAAAAGCATAACTTTCCCGTTTGTGTCCCTGTTAAAGTGTTACTAAACCCCGGAGCCTGCATTCACTATATCCGCTCTCCCCCGGAGCCTGCATTCACTATATCCGCTCTCCCCCAGAGCCTGCATTCACTATATCCGCGCTCTCCCCCGGAGCCTGCATTCACTATATCCGCTCTCCCCCGGAGCCTGCATTCACTATATCCGCTCTCCCCCGGAGCCTGCATTCACTATATCCGCTCTCCCCCGGAGCCTGCATTCACTATATCCGCTCTCCCCCGGAGCCTGCATTCACTATATCCGCTCTCCCCCGGAGCCTGCATTCACTATATCCGCTCTCCCACAGTACACACAACATGGAAATGCAATTATTTTAGTAACTATAAACTGCTAAATACCTTTTCTCAGCAGTTAGAGCAGTCTTGTGACTTCTATCAGTGTCCAGCTGAGCACAGGTTACAGCTTTTAGGAGGAGTTTCCATTCTCCTGAAGGACCCCATGACCTCTGTCTGGACAGTGCTGATTAGCCCTGTGCACCCTCCCACAAAAAAAACAAAAAACAAAACAAAAAACCACACTTCCTAGCAATACACACCAAACTGAGTATGTGTGGCTTGCCCCCAAGCCTCTGTTCTATCAGGGCATATTTAGGAGACATTAGAAGGGGAGGATCAGAAAAGACAGCATCAAACCGCCTTTTTCCACAATGTGTAGAATTACCCCCTTAGGTTCCACAGTGAGTATAACAAGCATGCTTTACTGCATCTACAGACTGATTGTACTGTTGTGGGTTTAGTAACACTAAGGGGAATCACTCTCTCTAACTGTCCTGGGAACCAATGTCACCAAAATGAAGGTGAAGGCAATCCAAAATTCTGAGTTGGCAGCAGAACAGGAATAGAGAGGGAAGGGGTTAGTGGTGGACATTTTCATTGGGAAATACAACAGGAAAGAGAAAAAAAGGAAGCAAATCAACAGTTTAGAAGCACTAAATATTAATCCAAACTGGTAATTTGTGGCTCCTCCTCAAGTTCTCCATTAAAGCAGATTTGGCATGAAATCAGTATCATCAGTCCCTAACCCTCAAAGGGCGTACAGTCTAAGGTCCCTAACTCACATTCATACACATACTAGGGTTAATTTAGACAGGAGCCAATTAACTAGTTGCCGACCACAGATAGCCGAATGACGTTTGCACTGCGGCCGGCCAGTTCTGGGTGGACGTCATATGACGTCCTCCCAGAACGCGCTCTCCTGCGCGCCCCAGGGGGCGCGCACCCGGCGATCTCCGTGATCGCTGTGTCCTACGGACACAGTGGATCACGTGATGTGGTAAAAGGCCAATCACAGCGACCTTTTACCACGTGATCAGCAGTGTCCAATGACACGCTGATCAGAGGGAAATGCAAGTGCCGGTTCTCGGCTGCACTTTCCTCACGCTGTCAGATCGTGAGGAAAGTACTGCCGAGAACCGGCAGTTGTCAGAGCGGGGATCGGCACCGATCATCAGGGCACTGATCAGTGCCCCGCAGTGCCACCCGCAAGTTTCGCCCACCTGTGCCCAGCAGTCCCCGCCCACTAGCTCCGCCCACCTGTGCCCAGATCACCCACCTATGCCACTCTGCAGTGCCACCCACCTGTGCCCAGAAGTGCCACCCACCTGTGCCCAGAAGTGCCACCCACCTGTGCCCAGAAGTGCCACCCACCTGTGCCCACCCACCAGTGCTGCCAGTCAGTGCCCAGGGGTTGTGCCAGGAAGTGATGCCAGTCAGTGCCGCCCATCAGCGCCGCCCATCAGCGCCGCCTCATCAACGCACATCAGTGAAGGAGAAAAAATACCTGTTTGAAAAATTTTATAATAGAAACAAAGAAACTTTTTTTTTTCAAATTTTTTGCACTTTTTTTTTATTTATAGCGCACAAAGTAAAGCACCCAGTGGCGATTAAATACCACCAAAAGAAAGCTCTATTTGTGAGAAAAAAATGATCAAAATTTCATATGGGTACAATGTTGCATGACCGTGCAATTGTCAAAGTGCGGCAGCGCTGAAAGCTGAAAATTGGCCTGGTAAATAAGGGGGTATAAGTGCCCGGTAGGCAAGTGGTTAACATACCAGCATGTCTGAACATGTAAACTCCAGGCAGGTGGTGCCGTGGTTGGGATTCAAACCAGCGACCCTAGTACTGCCAGGCGGAAGTGCTAACCATTTAGCCACTGTGCTGCCCTCATAACTTTTTTTTTTCTATGGTTGAACTGCATGGACTGTTTTTTTCACCCAGACTATCAAAAGGATTCCCTATTCTTCTGTCCTGTTGCTGCACTGTTGCTGCACTACCCCCCCTCCTTTGCATTTACAGGCAATTCCTAGCCATCAAAATGATTGCCAGAAGTTGCTGCAGGTGTTGACTGTAAAAAAAAACAACAAAAAAAAAAAAAAAACAAAAAAACAAACAAAAAATAAAAACAAAACCAGACAGTGTGCACATATAGAGTAATACAATGTAACGTGTGTGTACTCTGTTTTTGCCATTTACATGTTGGTCCTGAGCAGCGGTGGGGAGCAATAGGGCACATTTGGGCTGCAGAATGTATGAATGCAAACAGAAGAAATGTTGCGTGCCCAGTGTACAGGACAAGATGTGGCATGAGGTCTTACTGCTATATCACAGCATGCTACAATTCATTCCTATTCCTCCAACACAATACACTTTGCATGTCTTAGAAGAATTTGTTGTTGTATACATCAACTCCATCTGCAAAACAGCACAAACAATACAAAGGACAACAAAGCAAGTGACACATACAGCCTTCTAAACAAGACACTGTTCCCAGCAATCCCCTCCACTTATAACGGGATTACTACACCTCCAACATCACTGTACAACCAATTCAATATTTAACGTCACACAGAACAAATCCAATGACATATGCCACTTTTTGCAGCACCATAAAGCAGTTCTCATTTTTGCCATTGTTTAGTTTGCCAAGGCAACATCTTGGACTTTTGATTGACTCGTTTAAGTAAAACAAACTGACTTGTTTGTTCAGTCATTTATTAAAATGTCAGCATCCAGCCTACCAACCTCGGCTGGTGTAACACCACAATATAGTTTGTAAATGAAGACAGGTGAAAGTATGTACGCAATATATAGCCATTTACTGATGAACCAACAGAAATTTGCCCAGTAAGCTCCCTCTCATCCAACAGGGCAGAAAATTGACAGCCAAACAGCAGCTACATACAACCAGATGCAGCTGCTGTTCTGACAGCTGCGAGAATACAATAGGCCAGATTTGTTTAGTGTGGATAGATGAATATTTTCATTGTTTTGCTCAGCCTACAGGCCAAACTAATAAAATCTAACAGTGTATGGTCAGCTTAAAGAGGATCTTCAGTGTGCTCCCAAAATATTAAAAGTCAGCAGCTACAAATACTGCAGCTGCTGACTTTTAATACAAGGACACTTACCTGTCCAGGGATCCAGCACCATCCTCATCCAAATAATTTCTTCACCAATGTTCACGTCCCTATCGCCAGAATGTTTTATTAACCTCCCTGGCGGTATGATTATGTCAGGAATTTTGTACCAAAAGCGGTACCATTTTTTTGCATGGAAATATGTATTTTTTTATTGTAGGCCTGTAATTTAGGAATAACTCCCTGAAATCTGTCCGAACAAGAGTCTAGTAAACATTCCGGATATGATAAAACTTAACGAAATCATAAATTATAATTTAATACTCATAAATATAATAAATTTAATTCAATAATATAATCAAACCAAAAACACAGAAATTTGAAATATAGCGCCAAGTTCGCACATCACTGAGGAAAGTCGCAAAATCGTTTCAGTGTCTGATGAATCATTATCACTCAATTCTGCAAGTGGTTCTGATTTACTATCGCTGTTCTCTAGCTGGTCTAAAACCACTTTTGACCTAAAGGGACACTTTTTGGACGCCATTGACTGTTCTAAGTTTCCAGGCAGAAAGAACAGTCAAAATGTAGGCAGGGCGCCGGACAAAAGCAGTAGGGACAAAATGTATGTGAAATGGTTTGATACAGTAATGTTTTACTATGGGAATTTAGTGAATGTCACTTTTACAACTTTCAAATTTCTCACCAGTTCCGTCCCTCATACGTCCTGAGGTCGCAGGGAACGGAACCCAGAAGACAGATGCCAGCATCCGCCGGAGGACATTGCAGGGGACATTCCAGGCAGAAAGAACAGTCAAAATGCAGGCAGGGCACAGGACAAAGCAGTAGGGACACAATGTATGTGAAATGGTTTGATACAGGAATGTTTTGCTATGAAATAGTTTTTAAAAAAAAAAAAAAAAAAAAAAGTCTTTTTAAGTTTTCAAATTTGCCGCCGGTTCTGGCCCCCGTACGTCCCGATGTCACAGGGACCAGAACACGGAAGCCAGATCCTGGCATCGGCCGGAGGAGATGGCCGGGGACGCTGCAGGGGACGCATCGTGGGAGCAAAGGACAAGGTAAGGGCTGTAGGTCCCAGAAAGCTGTGGGAGCAGGTACTTGTTAAAACCAGGTACCCACAAACCCCACATGTCCACAAGTGTTAAAGGAGGTGGGGAGATGGAAGAAAGCAGGACTTCCCCTTTAAGTATACCCATCATCTACATTATACCCCCTTTCAGCCCAGGCCAATTTTCAGCGCTATCACACTTTGAATGACAACTGCAGGAGCCCAAATTACATTTTTAGCATTTTTTGAGACAGATGGAGCTTTCTACTGGTGGTATTTAATATCCGTGCTGGATTTTTGCTAAACAAACTAAAAAAGACTGTACTAATGGGGGCTGCACTGATCATCAGGGCTATTATCAGTGTGAACCATGTACTGACAACCCTGCTGGTTATCAGCTTTACTTTGCAGAAAAGCTCACAGCTCTGAACCTGGGTGTAAACAAGGCCTTAAAGTTGCCTTTTAGGCAGGCATGGTGTGGACTCTTTGCTCTTGAAGAGCCCTGGGCACCACTGCCTTTCTATCTTTCTGGTGTGCCATACAGAATGTTCCCTGCCTGGCAATGTGATTCCTCCCACTGGCTGTGGTCACTGTTGTGTTATATATTGACATGCAGCCTGTAAGGGGAAAGGGGGGGGGGCAGGCTATCTGAACCAAACAGCCATAAAAGGTGCCATCTTGGCCTCTGTTTGATTTGCAATGCACATATGATCACTTATTACTGACATAAGTACACGGGTAATTTTGATGGTCCTCACTTGAGGCGTGCCTTGCATGTAAGGGTTTTAGCGAGTCGTAAAATCAAATCTTAATTCTGTTTTACCCAGGTTCACATCTAAAATGTTTTCTGCAGCATTTTGTGTTTTGCAGAAACGCAGTACAGTCCATTTAACAGGATTTCCTATGTGACAGGTTCATATCTGCGCAGTTTGACCCGATGCGGTTTTTGGAAAGGGTCCAGTGAGTTTCATACATGTTGCAGATTCCTACGCAGAAAACATCCACATGACTCCATTGTTGTGGTGTGAACAGGACACATGGACAATTGTTTTCTTTGTGCCCTTGCAGAACGTGTGCAGAAAAGCTCACAGCTCTGAACCTTGGTGTAAACAAGGCCTTAAAGTTGCCTTTTAGGCAGGCATGGAGTGGACTCTTTGCTCTTGTCCATTATTATTATAGAGTATTTATATAGCGCCAAAGGGTTTGCTCAGCGCTGTACATTAGAATGGGGGACAAGACATGAGACAATACAGTCGCAAAACAATACACGAGGGTTAGAGGGCCCCGCCCTTTCCAGCTTACAGTCATATTTCCTATGTGACAGGTTCATATCTGCGCAGTTTGACCCGGTGCGGTTTTTGGAAAGGGTCAGGGCCTTTTTTGAATGTCAAAAGTTGCGTTCTTGGTTCTATAGACTTCAATGGAAACGCTGCAGAAAAGCAAGTGCTGCGTTTTTGATGCATTTTGCATTTTAAATCTGCCTAACAAAAAAAAAACAAAGAAAACCCAAAACACGAAGCCCCTGCAAAACGCATCAAAAACAGGTGCAAAAAAAAAACAAAACAAACTCATAGCAAAACGCAATGCAGAAATGACTCAAATGCAACCTGCATAGGTGTGAACCTAGCCTTAAGGCTGGTTCACACTACACGAGTTGCACAGAAAATGTACAGAAAGCAGGTTAGTTGTCAATGGCATGGTTCAAAGCATTACTTTCAGTTCCAAAAAAATAAAATAAAAATTAAAAAGTAGAACATGCTGCATTTTTTTTTTTCTGCACAGAACTGTTCTGGAACGCAATAAAATGCACCAAAAATGCATCGGAATGCATCAAAAATGCACTGGACCCCAAAAAAAGAGTTGAAAAAAAAAAAAAAAGGTCTGGAATGCATCAAAAATGCACCAGAACGTGTAAAACAGGCGCTTACAGAAACTTATCCAGACTGCGTTTTTATAGTGCGAACTGGCCCTAAAGGATAGTAGCAGCAATCTGATGCGAAGATTCCACTGGCCATCCACAGGAAATGTTTTCTGTCACAGAGTCACATAGCAAAAAGTGCCAAGGACAGTCTAGTAATCAGTTTCCTATCATTGTTTCTAGCAGAAAGACAAATCCACCTTGACGGATCTAACTTCCTCTGAGCCAACTAAACCACAAGATGGAGCAGCAACACCTAAAGCAATTCTTAAAATAGAAATATAAGCAAAACCTTTTTTTTTTGTTATTAGAATAAAAGGGAGGGTAACAACGCCAGATTTTTTTTTTTTTTGACCATATATAGATTTCCCATCACTTCCTGTCACCTAGCCAAAACAGGAAATTTTTCAAAAATGAGGAAATCCCTGGTTGTCCCCAGGGTCACCAAACCTAGTGGCCCCAAAGGAAGATTTTCCCTCTATTCTTGTTCTGGGGAGAATACAAAAATTTGTGATTTTTTTTTACTTTCACTTTTGTGGATAAAAGGAAAAAACAGGACAAATACAGAGGATGCATCTCCCTAATGGGGGCACAGACAGCAACAACTTAGCAGGGGTTCTAACCCTCTTGAGCTCTTTCAAAAAAAAAAAAAAAAAAAAAAAAAAAAAAGCCAGTACACCTTTTTGCACAAAATAAACACTTTTTTTGCAGGTAAACAATGTGCATTATTTTTGTCTGCAGGAGCCTGTAAAGCATTGCGCCAGCGATCAGCAGATTGCTGGTGCCAAGCAGGTCTCCTGCAGATATGTCAGTATATCTGTTTACCAAACGAGATGTATGAGCAAGCAGATATACTGACAAGAAGATTCAATGAACTACCACGGCACTCCACAGCGTACTGGTAGTTTATTGAAAACTACAAGCCGACAGCCGCTAATGCAGGCCATAGACGGGCTGTTTATCGGCCGAATTTTCATCCGATAAACGAAAAAAATCAATCAGCCCTGTTGCCGATGCTGCCACAAATGTCCATGAAAAATGGCCGTTTTTCCAGCATGACCGGTCATTTTCCAGCATGACCGATAAAAATAAATGTGAAGATCCGCGAAAAACGGCCGACTGGCTGGCCACACTAACGGCGTGAACATTGGCGGATTCTTTGTGTGGACGAAAATTCGGCCGATAAACGACCCGTCTATGGCCTGGCTAAGGCTGTAGGGACTTGCAAGTCATTCATTCATGGAACTCTGAATCAGGGGCAGAGCCCTGTGGGCGGAGCCCTGTGGGCGGAGCCCTGCACAGCTGCACTGGTTTCAAATCTGACAGCTTAGTCCCCATGCACACGGGACGTTTTTACAGCGGCTGTTTTTGGCTTCTGACATTTTTTTTCCTACAGCCAGTAAACCCCCCAGCATGTTCTCCTATATGTCCATACACACAGACTGTAATCAACGTTTTTTGGCAGGGACATTTGACTGTAAAAAAAAAAAAAAACAAAAAACTAGAAAGACTGGAAAGACTAGTGGATTTCTGGAGGAGTTTTTTAGCTGTAAAAACGTTCCAAGGCGGAAAAAACATGGCAGAATGTGGTAAAAAGCAGCAAACCGGCGTTTTTGGACTTTTGACCAGAAAAAACAAACTTTTTTTGGTAAAAAAAAAAGCTAAAAAAAAAACTGCCAACTCGGAAAAAACGCCGCCGAACAACTCACGTTTTTAATATGACTTTACATAGCTAACGTTACCAGCATTATTAAAACATCTCGTGTGCATGAAGGGTAATACATGGGAACTTCTCCCCAGACTTCTGTCACGGGGGGTGGCGGCTGCAACATTGGGAACGTGGTACATGTTCCACCCTAAAAACGGGTGGACCATGTTCCCAAAGGTGAATTTATCCTTTCAAGAACTAAAGACAGGGATATGCAATGTTTCTTCAGCAATAAAAAAAAAAACAAAAAAAAACAAAAAAAAAAACACCTACTTGCAGTAGGTACACTGGGCTGTGCATGCGCAGCTCAGCTTACATTTCCGGCACAGTGTCAGTGCGCCTGGATGATGTCTTCCGTGCTGGCCAATCAATATGGCTGAAGTCCAGCACCTAGAAGAGGATGGCAGCATAGGCGAGGGACCTCACAGGCGCAGGACTGCTGTAGCAGAGGCGATTCCTCCTCCTAACTTTAGCTCTGTTTTAACCACTTCCAGTCCAGACACTTTTACCCCCTTCCAGTCCAGGCCAATTTTCAGCGTTCAGTTCCATCACACTTTGAATGACAATTGCGCGGTCATGCAACACTGTACCCATATGAATTTAGCATTTTTTTTGAGACAGATAACACTTTATTTTGGTGATATTTATTCACCACTGGGATTTTTGTTTTTTTTTGCTAAATAAATGAAAAAGTCCAAACATTTTGAAAAAAGTGTTTCTTATAAAATTTTGCAAAATTTGGCAATCTTGGCCAAAATTTATTCAGTTATCTTTTTAGTACAAAAAAAAAAAAACCCAAATTAGTTTATAACCAAAAATCATCATTTTTAAACTTTTTTTATATTATTTATGTTTTTTTTTTACATACTGTCACCCTAGCAGTACAGTGTCACCATGGTGACACTGTACTACTTGTGGGGGGTAATGAAGATTTATTTATTTTTACACTGACTGCTTTTACAGCCATAAAGGCTGTAAAAGCAATCATTTCTCCTCCTCTCTAGCTGCATTCTTGCAGCCACTGAAAACTACTGACTGAGCTGTGATTGGTCACAGCGTGTCACATGGTACAAGGCTGTTGTGAATAGCCTTGTACCATGTGACCTCTGTGTTCATTCACAGATTTCACACGTAGTAAGCAATGATGTCAAAAGTGACATCTTGCTTACTACTCTGCATGTAATCCCTGATCGGCCAATCTGAGGTCCCGTCCGACGATCGGTGTTCCACTGTGTCCGGAGGACACAGCGGGCACCAGATCGCAGTGCTGCACGCTTCCAGGGAGCGCGCACAAGCAGGGTGCAGGGAGGCAGTTTATAAACGGCCACCCGACTCTGCACTGCCACCGTCCAGCCGATTATATACAACGGCCGGACGGGAGGTGGTTAAGGCCTAAAAAGAAAGAACATGCATGAATTTAAT